TGCTTATAGAATTAATAATGTTGGATATTGCTATAAAAACAGAATTAGAGTTGATATAGATAAAAGAATATCATTTGAATTTTATAAAAAAGCTGCTATTATGAGTCATATACATAGAACTTATAATGTTGGATATTGTTATAAGAAAGGAATTGGAGTTAATTGGAATAAAGACAAAGCATTAGATTTTTATCTAAAATTAGCTGATATAGTAATACTAGTAAAATAAACAAATTATTTGAATTAGAAGAAAGATATAAGCATCACAAAGCCAGAGAAGATAATAACATGCTGTTAATATAGGTCATACTTATAGAGTATTTAAGGATAGTTATTTTTACAAGAAAAAAATTGGAATCAATAAAGATAAAAGAAAAGTATTTAAATTTTATTTAAAATCAGCTAAGATAAGTAGTGCTAAAAAAGCATTGAAGTATGAAAGTTATTATACAAAGACAATAAACAAAATAATCAACTACTATTATAAAGGGATCAGTGTTAAAAGAAGTAAGCAAAAGGCTTTTGAATAGTACCATAGAACTGCTAATCCTTATATAATAAATCAAATTAGTTATTGCAATTAATATAGAATTGGTGTAGCAAAGAATAAAAAAAAAGCATTCGAATTTTACCAAAGATTTATAAGTTTGGACAATATCAGAGATAAAATATATAATCTAGAATACTCTATTAGAATAGAATCAGTGTAAAGCAGAATTTTACTATAGCTTCCTATTGGTGTGAATTTATTAAATCAACTAGATTTATGCTAAAACATGTAAGAAAATAACATGCAAATGAATAGTTAATCTCTGTAAACGATTATCATTTTAAAGTTATGTTTAATTAAAAAATATCATACAATAGTAAACATAATGTGATTTATTGTTTGCTTAAGATCTGATGTACTACCATGAAAAAGTATATGTATAAAAATAATTAGTATTATAAAATAAGTACATTTATTCCTCACCCAGGGTGAGATTTGATATTACTCACCCCCAAGATTATCCAATAAACGTGCAAGATCAGGTGTAATGAGTGTAACATGTAAATCATCTTTGTATAACAAAACAAAGACAATTTTTTTAAAAAATTGCTAATATTTCGCTATTTTGCTTATGAAACCACTTTTAGGTTCTAACAAAAAAGATTCTTTACATGATTTTACACATAATACACTCAACCCTAACCTGCTAACATCTTAGGTTTGATTATTTTTTTTTTAAAAAAATGATGAGGGGTGAATAATTTATCCGGGTGGTGAATAAATTATTTCTTATAAAATATACAAGTATGCTAGATAGTAATATGATTTATTAAAACAAACTGTGGACATTAGAATAGTTTTTAGCATAAGACTCCTAGTTTAAACTAATACGGTAACGCATCTACGTGAAGCCCATTAACAATAATATTGTAAATTGTATATTTTCTTATCAAATATTGAGAATAATAAATATTGATTGTGCTTGAATCAAGTGTATCTTTTTATTGGTATGGTTAAAGCCGTTTTATGTAATATAACCATTGACAAATAATTTCCTATTTTGAAGTTATATGTTTAATATTAATATCGCAAGAATATTCATCTTATTTTGATTTTTTTTATATAAAGATTTGATTTTGATGGATCGCTTCCTTTTACTTGTAATTACAAATCACAAAATTAAATAATAATAAAAAATACCATCTCACACAGTTTTACTTGTTGTTATCATCACCGTAGCGAGTAAGTCCTGTACCAATTTTTTTACATAGAAATTAGAAAATTCCAATACACTACATGATTAGATCAAAGCATTTACAAACTTAATGTGTCAGATCTAAATGTTTCCGTTCCTGGTTTTGCGCGATGACGTCGCGCAGCTACCTAGTGTATAATATTTACAAAATATAAAACAATTCATTATCCGGCATTTTATGAGCATGCATGTGAATTTTTCCTTGATATTTTTTGCACGAGATTACATAACATATATGTATTCGGATAACATCAGGGTTAATGTCTCGTCACTCACATGCTGCTATGCTGCACATGGAAGTGAAATTAACTCCGATGAAAAAATTTCCTGTTATTTTTCATCGTCTGCCCAATAATGCATACATATACCCCAATCAAAAATTGTTTAAATATTTAAGGTCTAAATGTTTTAGCTTCTTTCTCAGTTTCCTGTTTCTCATAATCAGCGATATATCCCAAATAAATAATCGAAAACTAGAAATTTTTAAATAGTTTAACTCAAATACTCTCCACATCTGCTGATATTCGAAACACATTAACGAAAAAACAATTACAACATCTTTCATAAAATAATTTGTGACAAATAACATATCTGAATAGAAACTTTACGATAGATAGTCTTATATTGAACTCATCTTTTGATATTTGTGATCTATGAAAAAATGGATGCAGAGACTGAAAAATGTATTGGACGTGATGATAACAATATCTAGTAACGTTATTACAAATCTTATTCAGTTTCTAACAAAATATAAATTATCAGCTATAGTTAATTACTTAAGCAAACGAAAAATATGGTCCTATCGAGGATTTTTAATCACTTATCGTAAAATTATTATTACTTCGCTATCCATAAATCTCAACTGGAAAGAGCACGATAATTATTGGGTCTCGCATTTTATGAAAGAAGCAGAGGATCTTTTAAAAAAAAATCAACGTGATTTTATGGTTTTAAGAAAAAGGTGCATTTCTTTTTTTTTTTATAATCCTGTAATCAAAGTAAGAGTAACTCCTATAGAGCCGCGTATCAGTTAATGCAATTGAAAAAGGTTACATTATTACTATATTATAGTAGAGACAATATAATAGTCAACAATTAAACTTGATCCGTGGTTTGATTATCTCTAATTACAATGTAGTATTTGCAATTTTTTGGTATTAACTATGTGTAAACGTCCTTGTTTTGGAAAATTACTGAATTATGATAATTGGTACACGTAACCACTCCAAATGTTCCTGGTTCAGGTCTCTGACTTTGTCAAATAAGGATCAAATAATTCTCAAGAGCAGAAAATGGCTATGTACCTTTCCTTATTAAAGAAATATCACATTATTAATATATATTTTTTTTAATAGGTAAAAGATGAACGTAATGCAGATGGCAAAAAGCTTTATTGATAGATATTCTTAAAGAATTCGACAAAGAAAATTCAACTAGTAAGTATTGTTATTGTTAAAATAAACTATGTCATATATTTGATTCCCCAAAAAATTATCATGATACGCATTTATACATATGATTTTGAAAGGAAAATCGTATTTAATGTATATGTTTTTAAAAATATAAACATGTTTCCAATTACTATTATTAATTTATCTTTTATTTAATTTATGCTTTATTGTTAGAGACCAAAAAAGGTCAAGGAAAAAAGCGAAAAAGAGGAGGTAAAACTGAGTTGGAATTTTTATCAATAATACCACCACCAATTTATTACCCAAATCTGGATAAAGATATCATCAACTGCACAAAAACCATCATCCGTTAAATTTTGGTGTTCATTTCTTAACAATGTAAAATCTTATCAAATTGACACTAATATTAAACAATATGCAAGCCCATACTTTAAAGAATATGATAAGATTTATGATATATCAAAAGAAGATGTGAGAGGAGAGTTAAAAAATAACATATTAGATAATCTCCATATCCTCACATCTTCTCGAAATCCAGTGAATGTATTTAAAAGGATCTCAAAAGAGGATAGATAGTGTTATAGGTGAACCAGATTTTATCTATAAACAAGTCAATAAATTGTTACTTGTTGTTGAGGTAAAAACCCTATGGGTTTTGTACTTGTTAATGAAGAACAACTGCATTTAAGATTTCATGAGGATTTGGATAAAAAAAATGGGTCAAGAAAATATTCAAAATCTGGCAGTAAAATTTCTGTTGTAGAATTTTACGCCAGATTTTTGGATATTTGGTTATAAATAATTTACAATATAGAATCCTAACTACATACAACCAGCATTGATTCTTAAAAAGGCCTTTATGTGAGCCGGATGTTCTTTATATTTCCCCAACTATAAAAATTGGATCAAAAAGCCCTATAATATTCCAATGCTATTCGTATATGCAGCATTTGGTCAGAAGATGTCCTAGTACAGGAGAGACACTACCATTATCATCTTCTAGTAATATTAATAGTGATGCCTCAGGATCTAATTATAAAGAAACTTTAAAAGCACCTAAACAAGAAAATTTTGTTATTATATTTACATTTTCTGTCTTTTGATCTTTTTTTTTTTTACATTAATAATAATTTTTTTATATTTTTTATTTAAAGACGAAATAATCCATATTGTGAAAAAATATTACTTTTCTCCTCTTTATTAAAATTTTTATATTTCTGGCTAGCATGTTCTTTTAATTGTTGATGATAGGACCAACTTTAATATAAGTATTATAATTAATTTATTATTATATGTCATATTTCATATAATGTTTTTTAATATTAAACTTCATATACTTATATTTGTTTTCTTTTTCTTTCAAACCTCTGCATCTAGCATTGTCAGACATTCATACTAACGAAAAGGAAATATAATAAAAAACATAATAATGGCTTTACTGAAATCTGCAAAATTAAGTAGAGGCACATTATTGTATATATATAGTAATAATAAAATTATTATATATTAACTTGAAGATTAAAAAAATTAACAGTAGTAGGTGTCACGATCGAGAACGTAATTAGATAAAAAGGTAACGGTTTCAGTATACAAAATTTTTAGTTTATTTTGTAATTTAACACACTCGTATCTTTTTAAAAATTTTAAAATCAATGACCATTCTAGAATTTCTTAACTTCTGGAGAGCACTAGTACTAATATATCAGAAAAAATATATAAAATTAAGAAAAAGAAAGCTTAATGATATAGTACAAAGCTTTAATATCAAACTGCACCAAATTCAGCGGTTTAATACTAGGTAGGGATGGCAAGTTTGATTTAAATCTGTTAAAAAATGTTTTAATACATTATGACGTAATTAGATTCAAATATGTAATAGGATTACGAAATTCAAAAAAAAAAAAAATCATGTTCGTGGAAGATCCTCGACAAAATAAGTCCGTTTGAGCTTACAAAAGTTGTTGAACATGATCGAACAACACTCTCCAAAAAATGTAATTATTGCGATGAAGATTGTGTCGATTTAGTTGACCAATTAAAAGGTCATTCATTAAAATGTAAAAAAAACTTCCAAGAAATATATAAGATTTGTAAAAACTCAAAAACAGGATTATGGTACTTCAAATAATTCATTCGCAAAAACTTATTCAGTGGGTTTACATAGTGGCAATATTGTAAATCTTGGACTTTCGATACCAACAAATGTGTAACTAATATAGAATGAAGATAATAACTGGAATTTTGGCTAGCAAAATTAAACACAGAAACAATATATATTTTCTATTATTTAACAATATATACTATTTTTACTATGGTATTAATTTCATTAATTGAGAAATTTGAATGTATTGTTTCATTTTACGATCGAATCTTATCATTTGTTTTTATCTTTTATAGTAATATATTTGCAAATATTTTTGATAAAAATAATTACTTTAATCAAAATTATTTTTATGATTTATTATTTTATATTTTACATATATAAAAAATCTCCAGTCTTGTGATTTTGACAAAAGCTCATGCGTAACATAAAATAACGATAGTTCAAAAGTTTGCTTTTGTAATCATCTGCATCCTAATAAGAAACTTTCTAAATTTCACTATAATTTAGAATTTGATCTTTCCTAATTCTAAATATCATGATTTTATGGTTCTATAAATACTTGAATAAAAAACGCAGTAACCTCTATTTGTACTAATTGATGAAAAATTCTTTATCTCTAACAAAATTATTTATTGCATTTATATCAAATCATGATTCTATTACATAGTAATAATGAACTTTTTTTTATAAAATAACTAGGTAAGAAACTACATCTATGTTATTTTATGTAGATACTTATATGGACCTTCATAGTTCGTGATGGCACCAACATTAATCAAATTATAACACTACGAATTCTGGATCACATGACATTACTTTAAGGTTGACTCGTGTTTGTGTAACATATGCTAACTTTATATAACCATAGTGACATCGGTTAATATTGTACCAATCGGATAGTTCTAACAAACTACTTGTTCATATTTTTTGCACAACGAAAGCAATAAAATTTCCATCGAACAGCTCGATTAAGACTTTTCGACAAAATTTTGAACAGGGAATTAATTTTTTATAATAGAATTTATTACTCCAAAATATATATTGATTGTTCATTTTATTTGTTCGTTTTAATTTTTCCTTCCCTCCGAGATTTAATTGCAATTATTTAGTTTAAATACATTTGAATAATTTTAAAACAAATTCGTCAAATGCAAATTTTACTTTTGCGCAAAAATTTTTTTATTTATGTATCTTTTTTTTTTTTTAATAAGAAACTTATTACATAACGGATAAGGCGCCTAATCTTTTAATACATAAGAGAAAGTTTAAAAATCATACAACTATTAAAGAAAACATCAACTAGTTCTACATATAAGCATATTTTAATAACGATTTAAAGCTCGCCGGAGGTGAAGTTCTCTAGGTATGCATTTTTCAAAAACGGTTTTGTAATTATTTTTGAAGTATTAAGTAAAATGTTAGGCATTCTAAAAGCCTAACCTTTAATTTAGATTCTAACTCTAAACCTAAAGACTAATTTAAAAAATCTTTAAATTAAAAATTCTAAAATTCTATAAAATCCCACAATAATAACCAAGCAAATTCAGTATATCACCTCTGGTGATTTCTAAATTAGACCATATTTTAAAATGTACAACAATTGATAACAATACTAAAGCATTTTACTACAGTATTAAGGATTGTGCTACACACATGACTATTTCACATAATTAAACACTAAAAATCAGTTGACCAACTTAAATTTAGTTATTACTAATAAAAATCATAACCATAAAGAAAATCGTTAGCAGCTTCTTGATTAGGATAACCAATAATTTGACCACCACGCTGCCTGGCTAGGTATCTATTAATTCTATTAGCAAGATTTGTGAAGAAACCTTTTTGATAAAGACTAAAATTTCTCCAAATATATCTAGCAACATTTCGGATTATGTTGCGTCCGTAAATATTTATTGAATTACATGCTGGCCATATTGTAAGAAGTAGAGCACCAAAACGTGAAATGTTGCTATTGCCATTGTAATTTCTTGCTAATTCTTCTGTGCTTCGGTATGTAGGGCGATAGAGCCTTGCGATTAACATAATTCTATGGGCGAGCCTTGAGATTCTAACGCTATTTTGTGACATTTTTTTTTTTTTTTTTTTTTTTTTTTTTAATAATATATATATGTGTAAAAAATATAGATATAGTAAATAATACTTTGATTCAAAAAAAGGACAGATGGTTTATATAAGAAATTTTGTACATTTCCAAAGTGAACTTGTGAACTAAGAGTTAGTTTCATGAAAGGACCAATTAAACATATCGAATCAGGCGCAATAAATATTAAACTTCTAAATATGAATAACGATGAAAGCGAAACGTGTCTAGACTAATTTATTGTTAGAAAAAATGGTCTCATGATCGAAATTTACAGTAGTCACATTTCCTATCAAACTTTTGACAGCTGAAAACAAAAAATAAATACTCTTTTATAATATTACCTTTTTTGTCTGGGACTAGTACGTACAACTAAGAAAAATGTTAGCTAAAATATGTTATTATGTCAATTTTTCACTATAACAAAAATCATTTAATTGTAAGTTATATGTTATTTATATTGAGCATTATCTATTGCAATTGATTGGATTCAATGAAACAATGGCTATTTTGGACAATTTGTGTAATTTGTATGACGTCCTATAGGATTAATTTCTATATTAATGCTATGATTAATCATTGTCATAAGTGCCAAATTTTGCTAAAGTAAACAAATTTTGAACTTTTTGTCGTACACAAACCTATAAATAATTTAATAATATTAATAAAAATGAATCATTTTTTGCTTACAAAAAAATAAATCGATCAAATAAATAAACAAAATGCAGGCACGTTGTTAAATTTTTGGATAAGAATTTTTTATTTTTATTTTTTGTCACATTTTAAATTTCTTTGTTCTTTTTCTTTGTTCATATTGATGATATTTGTTTATACATATTATGCCTTTGATCGGTCAATTGAATTATAAACAAAACACCAGTACCAATATAAATAAAGTCTAAACATTGTAGTATTCTAGAATTACATTATTTGGTGTGCGAGAAAATTTTTTAATGGTATTCACTTTTTTTTTTGTTCTCATTAATTTCAGGAGGATTACATCATATGATATATACGAAAAGTTTTTTCTTTGTTCTTATTGATTCCAGGTGAATTACATCATACGATATTTGCAAATTTTTATTTGTACCAAAAGAAGGTTCGATTTGATTAACGTTATACAAATTTGTGAAGTTTCATAAATTTAGAAATAAGTAAAATTCAATCGTTTCTGAAATTAATGCACTTGACTAGTAATAATATCACATGAACTATTATTATCTATCAGCA